ACTGCATCGCATTTTTCTGAAGACAGTGTATTAAACAGAAGAAAATTAGTGAGTTTTCCAATGCCTTTTACAAAGTCAGAATATGCAAAGAGTGGAAAACATTGAATAAAAGGCATTATTGCACAGTGCATTTGTAGGCAACTCGAGGATACAGGTGGGCCTCCTCGGCTGTCTCAGGGCTGGAACAAGCAAATCTGCTAAGGGTCCACACATCGGGATTTTACCATCTTCTGGCTTTGAACTCCAGTGCTGCCTAAATCGTAGAATGTGGAAACAGGCCATTTGACCCATCAAGTCCACACTGATCTGAAGAGCATCCCGCACTGACTCATTCCCCCTACCCAATCGTTGTAACTCTGCATTTCCCGTGGCGAATCCACCTAGCCTGCATATCCCTGGACCCTATGGGCAATTTAGCATAGCCGATCCACATCACCCAGACTGGGAGAGGAAACCGGAGTATCCTGAGGAAATCCAGATAAATGTATGAGAACGGAGATAACACACTGTGGAGCTGGAGGAACACAGCAGGCCAGGCAGCATCAGAGGACAGGAAAGGTGACGTTTTTGGTCGGGGGCCCTTCTTCAGAAACCACTTCTGAAGAAGGGTCCCGACCCGAAATGTCAACTTTCCAGCTCCTCTGATGCTCCTGGCCTGCTGTGTTCCTCCAGCTCTACACTGTTATCTCTGACTCCAGCATCTGCACTTGTTGCTATCTCTAAATGTATGAGAACAGTCTTGTTTGTTCTAGTTGAGTCTTATTTCCTAGCCAAATTACATGTCCTGTAAATGCTGACTCCCTTTGTCCCCATCTGGTATAAATGTGCTTACTTTTAACAGAGTTTCCAATCTTAATCTTTGAGACTTCTGCTAAGAGCATTAAGACGTGGGCTTGTTACAAGTTAAGCTGATACTGTACTATTTTTATTCTGCACTCAACCATGTCCTAAATGAATTGATAGCATAGACATAGCTAGTGATGGTTACAATTTACTCATTAGCTGTAGTGTTTGTGACATGGACAATGGATATCTGCTCAGACTCTGGCATCCTCTTATACTATTTTGAGTACCGGTTTGTGAAGATTTGAATGCCTAGATGGATTAATGATGGAACAGGTAGATGTTCCCCACAAAACAGGGGAAACCTTATTTGGTCTAATGGCGTTGATGGTTTTGCTACATCAAGTTTGTGTACTTGAAGTTTCCTTTGGAATTTGTAAAGCAAAGCTACTGTATTTCAATAATTGATTTAATCATAGTGTTTGTATCTTTCCCACTTAGAAATGTGTTCACCCAGCTTGAATACTATCACTAATACTTGAAACTTGTAACTGAGGGGGAGCTTGGTACCCTCACAGAAGAGTAGTCAATGAGATGCATGGTCAAGGTTTTTTGATTGACTTTAACTTTGTGGCTTTTAGACCGTTCCTACTTTTAGCCACCTAGCAGCCTATTGTCAAATCGCAATATTATCGGTCTTCCAGCTACCCTTCAGTTTTCTGTTTGCAGGCTAGACAGAATTTAGCTGTTCAGCAGCCTAGCAACAAGTTGACTCTTATTTCACTTACTTAAGTTACAAAAAAATTTTAATTGGGAACAGGACCCTTCCCACTCCCCCGATGACTGGTGGGAACTTTCCACATATATGCATGCCATTAAAGTAATTTGGAACCATAGCTGTAAATAAAAGACGAATTGTGAATTCATCAAATGAGAAACTTGCATATGCAGAAGTGAAGGAGGTGTCCCCCAATTGTTGTCTATTTTCAAGTTCTGTAAAAACTTTGCATGAATGCTTCAATATGCAGATATAATTTTGAGCACAACCGCTGACTGTTTTCAGAGTCTTATTTCCCTTGAATTTTGGTTGCTGTTTTACAATAAAAGTGATCTGGGCCTGATGTAGCTTTGTACAGAAGAGCAACTGAGTGACATTTATCATTTTAAATACCATTTATGACCATTACTTGGAAACAACAAATTTCAAGGTGGGGGACCTGACTTGTTAACAACTGTGGAGCCCTAACTTTGATGTTTGTAAACTGGCTCATCCTTCTCACATTAAACATTAAACATTTAACATGGTTGGCCAAACCGTTCTCTTACACCTCTTCTCCATCATTCAGCTCATTAAAGTCACAGACAGAAGATAATCTGAAATGAAATCAGATACTTCTGGAAATACTTAGGCAGTCTATTCACATCTGTGGTGGGAGGAGTGATCATTAATGTTTCTGACCAATGACCTTTTATCAGAATCACTCAAATGGAAAGTCATTGATCTGAAACGTTAACTTTGTTTCTGTCTCCACAGAACCTGCTAGACCTGCTGAGAATTATCTTGGCTTTTTTCCCCACTTATGCACGCATACCTCATCCACACACATCTATCCATGGTAGCCTCTTATATCTGATCTGTGTGCTGACAGGGTGCGAAAATTTGAAAGACCAGTGGTAAGTTCTGTGTAAACACTGACATCTATCTCTTTCAATACCTTCTATGATGCCTCCTACATTTGATCTGTTATGCCACTTGTCTGACATGCAGAACTAAAAGAGTATAAATTGCCTTCCTGCCAAATTGTTGGAAGTCCAAAACTATTGTCTTCAGCCCTGACGGAAACTTTGTTCCTTAACCATCAGTGCCATCCATCTGCTTGGTCACCATCTGAAATTGAAACAGGCTGTTCACAACTTTGAGCCAGAATGGAGCTTCCTACCCCAAAATCTGCTCCATCACCACTGCCTACTTCCAAATCTGTTACTTCACCTGTCTTCAATTTTGTTACTTTATTTTCTTCTTGTACCTACCCATGTGATTGTTATCCATTTCAAGGTTGGCCAGGTCAGGTCCCTGTCTTCATCCTCCATAAATGTGAGCTTATCCAAAACAACAGTCCCATTCAGTCATTATTGCTGTACTTGCTGAGTAGTATCGGTAACTGTGCCTGTAAATCCTCAGTTTTAAAATTATACTTTTCTCTACATTATTGCCTTAGCTCTGTAATCTGCAGCAATAAGTAATATAAATGACATTGAGGGACTTCAAGTCAAATAATAAGAAAGCCTTGCTGTAATTACGCAAGGCTTTGATAAAATCACATCTGGAGTATTGAGTACAATTTGATCTGAGTGTGAAGTCTGAGTGTTGGCTTTTGTGGATTTGCGACCATACCTAGTCATCATTTGTAAGGCATTTTCGAATAGTTTCTTAAGTTTAAGAAGCTGCATGTTAAATGTTGTACCTTAGTTAATGAGACCAAAAAGGTAGACAACTCTTGACAATTGAGAATATTCACTAATACAAGAGAATGAATGGGATATTTTTACTAATCTTGTGTGAAGGCAGCATCCTTCTCTCTAGCCAAAGTATCAGAGCACTCTCCCAGGCTTGTCCCTTTCATCTGAAGGGGACCACTTTCTGGCGAGCACTGCCAATTGACAAGGGCATTCTCTCTGAGCACTTGTAACTATGCCTTGTTTTGGGGGCTTGCAACCTATGCTGCGTAAATCACATGTCTGTATCCTTTTTAGCAAATGAGCATGGGATACCTATTCACAATGTCATAAGTCAGTGTTCATTATTCTGAGAAATTTTTCTGAATCGTTTGAGGCACCAGGCATCGGTAGCCTGGTAGCTTTTTGTAAAGTTTAATTAGTGTTTTTCTTTTTTTTTCTGCTATTTGTTTGTTTTTGGGAAGGGAAGTAACGGTGTAGCAGCCATTATATGAGGATTCCTGCTACACTGGAAATCCTAGAAAAATTCACTTCACTTGTAAAGGGACCCTAATTGCCAACATATGCTTGCTTTGGAAGGAAGCATAGCGAAGCTCTATTAGATTGACTCACGAGGAAAGGATTGTGTTGTAATAAACAATTTAGGGTGGGCCTATGCTCTCTGAGGTCTCAAAAATGAGAAACCATTTCATTCGGAAAAATGATATACATTTGAGACGGCTTCGCAGAGTATATGTCACGTGGCATAATCATGTTTGTTCTTAAATGTTTTTGTGTAATTTTCTCCAATTCTAAGCCCTCCCAAGAGTCTACCATCTTGTGCATTCTTCATTCCACTTTCAGTACCAAGACCTGAAATACCCTCCTTAAACTGCTGTACCTTCCTTGTACTCCTTTGAGACACTTCTTAATACCTGTTCTGCTGACCAGGTTTTCTGTTACCTGCCTTTTTGTGGCTTGGTGTCAAATTTTGCTTGATATTGCTGTTGTGAAGCTTCTTGACACCTTTTCCTATATTTAAAAGTGCAATGTAAATGTAAATTGATATCTAAATTTCATAACTATTTATTACACGGTTTTTAAAACAAAAACCTTTTACTTTTCAGTAAAAGGAATAAAAAGGGCGAAAAAAACGGCAAAGGACTGCGACATTTCTCAATGAAGGTCTGTGAGAAGGTGCAGCAGAAAGGAACAACTACCTACAATGAGGTGGCAGATGAGCTCGTGGCAGAATTCAGTAACACCAATAACCAGGAATCTGGCTCTGATGAAGTAAGGCAGTTATGATACTTAGAATTTCAAAAATAGTTGTATTGTTTTTATTCACAAAAACTTTACAAAGCATTGGTATTTTAATAAATCTGGATATATAAAATGGTAGTGATATATTTATGCGGCAGACACTCCACAATGGACAAAATTGTGAAATAAATAAGATCAATAAATAAGATGTTCAGTGAAAAATGTCTTGTAAGCATAATATAAGGAACATTTGAATATTGTTCCTCAACACAATTCTTTTGTTGATTGACAGAGGCAGCAGCAACTGAGGAGAGGTTGGATTTTATTCTTCCATTCTACAGACTTTGAACAAGTTGACTTGAGCCCATCATATAGTGTAGTTGAAGTTTGGTTAACTAAATAAGGAGAAGTGTGGACTACATTGCAATAGTGTGGGTAAAACTAAATTGAATCATTACCTGTTGCTGAATTAGGTGTGTAACAAAGAGCACAAGGTTTAGATTCACAGATGCTGCCTGGACTGAGTATTTCTAGCACCAAAACAAAGTTGCTGGAAAAGCTCAGCAGGTCTGGCAGCATCTGTGAAGAAGAAAACAGAGTTAACGTTTCAGGTCCGGTGACCCTTCCTCAGCATTTGTTTTTATTTTACTTCAGATTTCCAGCATCCGCAGTATTTTTGTTTTTGTGCTGTTGAGTTCATGTTGGTGACTGACGTACAATTCACTGGCTGACCTGGCTTAAAAAGCAGAAAGACTTAAAAAGTAGCAGATGTTTAGACCAGGAAAATAGGAAAGCAGTATGTATGACAGTGTAGAGCTGGATGAACACAGCAGGCCAGGCAGCATCAGAGGAGCAGGAAAGCTGACGTTTCAAAGGGTCCAGACCCGAAATGTCAGCTTTCCTGCTCCTCTGATGCTGCCAGGGCTGCTATGTTCATCCAGCTCTACACCTTGTTATCTCGGACTCCAGCATCGGCAGTTCCTACTATTTCTATGTGTGACAGTGTCCTCTGTTAGAACAGCCTAAGGAATTTAAGGGACTGATGATGGACTGCTGAATTTGACTCTGCGGTAAAGAGTTGAAGGGTGAGGAGCCTAGAAGCAGTTGTGACCAACTGATGCATTCGAACTATGAAATAAAGGTAAAAAAAATGTTGAATTAACTGAGAAGATCAATATTTTGGATTGGAAATTGACAGTAAAAGTAGAGTTAAAATGGGTGAAAACGCCTCAACAGAATACAGAATTGTTTGAAGGTGGAATCAGCTTTCTGCTTATCCAGTCTAATGAAAAATATGTGGTCTCCCCCACCCCCGCCAAAAGAAAGAAGAAAGTGCTTGTGTTGGTATGTTTGAACTCGGTATTTCAAGAAATGTTTTTAAAATTGTAACCCTTTAAAGTGTATGGCCAACATATGAAGATGGATAATTCCTTGTTGTTATCTTGAACTAATGGGACTCTGCTGGAAAGAATAGTCAATATCTGTTAATCAGAAGCTCATTTAGAAGTGACGTTGCTGAGAAATGAAGGGAGAGGACTAATGAATTTGTGTGCAAATCAAATTGGAAATTTAAAAAATGAGACAAACTGTTGTCCATAGCATTTAAAACACTGAAAAAGTTGGTTTTATGTGACTTTGAGAGTAGTGTCCATTTGATGCTTTATTCCTGTCGAAGATTCCATATAGCTGTGTGCAGAAACATGTTGGATATGTTTGAATGTGTTATGCAAATAGCTATTTCGCATGGCATTTGAGGTGAATAGACTGATTGACATGGAAATAGTAAAGAGTGGCCTGGACAGTAATGGCCTGTGATGCAGCAGTGATATTATAATATGCCTGTGGCTCATAATTTTGGAGGGTAATACAGAATCCCAGAATTATTATGATACACACAAGGAGGTCATTCAGTCTATCATCAGTGCCTGCTTGAATGCCTGAACTGAACCTGCCTTGACCACATTTCCAGGTAGTGTATTTCATACCCTAAAACATGCTGTGTGGAAAAAGTGTTTTCTCACATCGTCCTTGTTTCATTTACATATCACTTTAAATCTGTGCCATCTCACTCTTGTTTTTCTTTACAAGCTAAAGCAATGTTGCCCTATCTAATCTGTCCAGCACATCTTCAGACTCCTGTCCAGATCTGCCTTCTGTCCAGGGAGAGCAGTCTCATATTGCTCAGTCTATCCTCACAGCTGAAGTTTTTCACGCTTAGGAACCATTCTAGTAAATTACTCCTGCACTCCCTCCATTCCATTCACATTTTTCGTATAATGTAGTGTATACAATCCAACTATCCCAACCCCATCAGCCTACTCTTGATCATTAATAAAGTGACGTAAGGTGTCATCAACAGTGCTGTCAATCCACCTAACCTGCTCACTGGTGTCCAGCTTAGATTGTGCCAGGGCCTCTCAGCTCCTGACCTCGTTGCAGCCTTGGTTCAAACATTGGCAAAAGAACAGAATTTCAGAGCTGATGTGAGAGTGACAGCCTTTGATGTCAAGGCCTCATTTGACCAAGTGTGGCATCAAAGAGCCTTAGTAAAACTAGAGTCAATAGGGATCAGGACGCAAACTGTCCAAATGGTTGGAGTTGTACCTGGCACATAAGAAAATGTTTGTGGTTTCTGGAGGTCAGTCATCTCGGCTCCAGGACATCTCAGCAGGAGCTCCTCAGGGTAGGTTACTGGTCCAAACAACTTCAGCTGCTTTATCAATGACCTTGCCTCTATCATAAGGCTAGAAGTGGGATGTGCAAACGTTTGCCACATTTAAAAGACATTTGGACAGGTAAATGGACAGAAAAGGTTTACAGGGGTATGGCCCGAACGCAGGCAAGTGGGACTAGTTCAGTTTGGGAAACCTGGTCGGCATGGACAAGTTGGTCAGAAGATCTGCTTCCATGTTGTATGATTCTGTGACTATAACTGCTCAGATACTGAAGCAGTCCATGTCCAAATGCAACAAGGCCTGCATATTGTCCAGATTTAGACTGAAAAGTAGCAAGTAACATTTGCGCCACACAAATGCCAGGCAATGACCATCTCCAATAAGAGAGAATCTGATGGTGTTACCATCACTGAATCCCCCACTATCAATATCTGTAGGGTTACTATTGATCACAAGCTGGATTGGTTTTGCCAAACAATTACAGTGGTGACACAAGCAGTTCAAAGGCTAACAATACTGCAACGAGTAACTCACCTCCTGACTCCCCAAACCCTGTCCACCATCTACAAGGCACAAGTCAGGAGTGTGATGGAATAGTGTCCACTTGCCTGGATTAGTACAACTCCACCAACACTCAAGAAGCTTGACACCATGCAGGACAAACCAGCCCGCTTAATTGGCACCATGTGCACAAACATTCAGTCACTCGACCACTGACACTCAGCAGCAGTGTTTACTACCTATAGGATGCACTTTGAAATTCACCAAAGGTCTTTTAGACAGCACCTTCCAGACTCATGACAACTTCCCTCTAGAAGAACCACGGCAGCAGATAGATGGGAACATCACCACCTGCAAGTTCCCTTCCAAGCCACTCACCATCCTATCTTAGAAATATATCAACATTTCTTCACTGTCACTGGTTCAAAATCCTGGAATTCCCTCCCTAAGGGAACAATTGTGACAATATCTTTTAAAAGAAATGAGCAAACTGTATAACATAAATAGTATTTAACTCTAAACCGAAATCTTCCCAATTGTTGAATTGCCTCACCTGGAGGGGTTTATCAGTTACCTTTCAAGCTGTTAAATAGATGATCGGGAATTAAGGTGCTACTCCTGAGTGATCAGAAAAGGAAGAAAATATTTCTTCTCAAGTCATTTGTAATCTCATCCTGCCCAGTGAGAAAACAAATTATGATAGTAATGTGCAATATTAAAGCTGGAAGACAACCTTCTGCAAGGGGACACAAATTAAGTGTATGCAGTTAAGAACAAATTAGGAAGATCTGTTTCATGATCGTATCTTTTTCTCTTGATAGGCACACCTGACGAAAGGGCTACAGTCCAAAAGCTTGTGATTTCAAATAAACCTGTTGGGCTATAACCTGGTGTCATGTGACTTCTGACACTTGAGTCCTATACTGGCACCTCCACCTCATGGCCCAGTGTGGATGATGCATGATTAACTGTTTTCAAGTTTACTATTGCCACATTTAAATCCTTCCACTAGAGGGCTTGTGTGACCTATGGAAAAAAGTCCTCTAGTGGTAAAAATCTGTATTCCTAATATACCCAAGCCTTTTTGTATTATTTGAATTTTCATCTCAATGTATTTCATGTCACTATGTAAGCCAACAGTTTACATCCTTGAACTTCGATTAGTGGTAACTTTGCTATGCCTCTAAACCAAATTAAGGCAGTTGAGAGAGTAATATGAGTTTCTCCCAATTTCTGTGTTTGAAGGAAAAGTACATTTGGCAGATTTTCAATTCCTTCCAAGTACAGTTTAGTAATTCATTCTGTGTATGCTGTTCCCTATTGATTTTCTTTTGGGGATTGCTTCACTTTCAAAATTTAGTTTAGTAAGCTTCATCAAATTGAATGAGTATAAGAAAAACAGTGGGCCATTCAACTCTTCAAATCTGTTCTGCTGCTCAGTGAGGTTGTGGTTATTTTGTGTCCTAATTCAACCGACGCTCAATGGCTTCCTATCCTTTCTCACCTCTGGCTAACAAAGATCAATCAGTCTTAGAATTGAAATTCTAAATTGAGCTAATATTTGCTGCTTTTTGAGGGAAAGATTGACAGACTTCTACCACTTCCCCAGCTAGCCTAACTCTAACTTCAATTCAGTGTCATGAACCTTGTCCTGGACTCCTCCAGCAGTGGAAATTTTCTCTTTTCAACTACACTATTCAAAAGACAATCTGAAACAAAATGAATCGGAACACTTTCTATCTTGCGAGGAATATAAAGTCCAGTTTATGAAATCTGCTGCTCTACTCATAAATGAACTCTTGGAGCCCTGGTTTCATTTTTTTGAATCTGCAGTAGGTTCCTGCACTGCAGCTTGCAACGCCAGTAAATAGTCAGCATTGATCAGTTTGTAGCACCTTCACTTCATGAGGTTTTGGATTCAAATCCTACTCAGAACCTGAACACCAAAATCAAGGTGTAGTACAAAGGAAATGCTGCACTGATGGGAATGCTTTTCAGATAAGACATTAAACTAAGGCTGTGTTTTCCTCCTGAAATGGCTGTAACAGACCTCATTAGAGATTTTTTGAAGAGCAAGGGAATTATCCCAGGTATCCTAGCAATGTTTATATATCAGCCAACATCTCAACAAACAGATTATCTGGTCATTATCATGATGCTGCTTGAAAGGCAATGCTTGTCAAACATTTTCACACTATGATGCCATTTAGAGGCTTGAAAATTGTAACAGTCCCTCTGCAAAAACTGAGAACAGGTTGCAGATGGGAAGACGCATGAGAGTACGGGATAGACAACAGAAATGAGGAGAAGGAGGAGCTGTGTAAGGGCCATTGCTGCTTACGATCTCGTGACACCAAAATTTCAACTGGTGACCTCGATTGAGAAGCCCTGTTGTAGGAATTTTCTGTGCACACGTTGACAGTTGTATCTCCTACAACAGTGAGTTCATTTAAGTATGCCATTGGCTTTAAGCCATATAGAGATGCCTGTTGATCATGTTGAGTGCTAGAAAAATGCAGAATTTTATTAATCAGAACTTTGTATAACAGCTAAATTTTCTCGCTTTTATATTTGTCCCTCTTAAAGCATAAAGGCCAACATTCCATTAAAGTTTTTGATTTTTTTCTTTGCACATTCTCATGATCTGTGTACGTAGACCACTAAGTCTCTTTGGATCTCTGCTGTTCTCAGATGTTTGCAATTTAAAAAGCAAATAATCTGTTTTACTTTGTGACCAAAAAGGGTGCCCCTCCTGCTTTGAAATCCATCTGCTACAATTTTGCCCACTCAGAGTATCTATCTGTTTATAATTTTATGCACCTGCCACCATTAGTTGCTATGCCGCCAATCTGGAATATGATTGGCTATTGTGGTGTGGAAATTATTATTAAATATAGTAAGCTGTTGACACGCCAGCATAAATTCTTGTTGTGCTGCTCATAATTTTGTCCAATTTGGAAAAGTATTTTTATCTCTTTGTTTTATGCCCCTAACTATATTATGAAATAAATGAAAGAGTACCTATTTCTCATTTGGGAATGAAAACACTACCTGTTGAGCCCTTTAGAATTGTTACATGGAAAGTTTGTATCTTTAAATATTTATGACTTTATTAATACATTTCTCACTAAGATTAATACTACATGATTATGCTGTTTGCTCATTACAAAACATGTATCATTTTTTCAACTGTCCAAAGTCTGACAGGTAGTTTTTCCCAATAGTCTAGTAGTTTGATGGTCACCGTTACTGATTTATTTAATTGAGTTAGAGTATCGGTCTGGACCCCTGGATTACTAATCTTGTAATTTGCCAGTATGTTCGTGATAGTTATTAAGAATTTATTTCTTTTGTCATTTTTGAGTTTGGATGAAGGGATGTTGCTGAAATAATCAATGCAATATGTCAAAGATGAGGGATGGTTTCTGTTCCTCCTTCAAGCACTCAGATTTTGGACAGCTGGAAGTTGTACATTTTTGTTTTGTAATTAGCCCCGTTTTGTGACTCTCTGCTGTGCAGATAAGAGTAGCCAAGTTCCAGTTTCCAAACTGTTCAACTAAGAACCTGTTCAAGTTCCTTCCATTTATTAAAGATTCTATTTGGCTCTTCTCTGGTAGCTATTTTGTGAAGAGCATGTATGTAACCATACCAGGCTGACTCAACTGACTCCTCAATATGACTTTAATGAAATTAATTGTTCATTGGAATACTTTTACTTTGGAGCAAATTGCAATTGTATTTGGTATTATATTGTACAACTTCTCATTCACAACAGGGTTATGATCAGAAGAATATAAGACGTCGTGTATATGATGCCTTGAATGTGCTCATGGCAATGAATATCATCTCCAAAGAGAAGAAGGAAATCAAGTGGATAGGACTTCCCACAAACTCAGCTCAAGAGTGCCAGAATCTAGAGGTAAGAATGCAGAAGTTCTCTTCATGAAGCATAGCACAATCCAGTGTGTGTAGACCTAAATTGATGTGCTAAGACTGATGCAATAGGTTCTTCCATTTGGAACAAGTTCTGTAATTCTGGCCTAAACAGTTAACATCTGTGAATTATTTTGCGCAGTTCATCTACGTTTTTATTTGATTTTTCCCTATTGCCAGTAAACTTCCTTTTTTCCCTTCTTCCTGATTATCCTGCCCAGTCTCCATCTGTTAGGCCTGCTATGTACATTTTGAGTGACTGAAGGCCAGTAGTTTACAGTAAATTTTCTTCAGTGCCTTTGGAAGACCCATTGGATTCTAGTTTTTGGCTTGAGAAAAACACCTGTATTTCCAACAACACATAGGGCTGTCTTGTCTCTAAGTTACACAAGCTTCTCTAACTCTGTTAAAATGCTCCTCTCCTAGTAAACCCTTACGTGGCTCAGTTTCCAATGATGGTTGATGCTGCTCCAGTGATATTCCTCGAGACGTATTACCTTGTTACAAGCGCTGCTTATTGTGGTCTGTAGTTTGCAGCTAATGATAGACTTCTTTTTAATTTATGTAAATAGATGGAGAAACGAAAGAAAATGGAAATGATTAAACAGAAGCAATCACAACTTAAGGAGTTGCTGCTGCAGGTAAAATAAAGTGTAAAGAAAGTGAAACATTTTGCAGTATTTCATACCTGCTACACACATCCACATGATGGGTAAATGTATTTTTTTCAAAAATCTAGCCTAGCTTATTTCTTTACTGTAATATTTTTAATAGTGTTAATGCAGTGAGAGTTGTACAGAAGATTTCACATTATGTCAAAGATTTTCTTAAGTGCCTGCTTTCATTCCGGGGTTATTTTTGCATTTGTGTCAGATGGGTTATAGTGCACTTTTTGAAGAAGAAATGGGAATTCCCTTTGCGTCCTGATCAGTAGTTACCCTTTTGAAACGTTGGATGGTTTTGAGAGAGAAAGAAGAGAGGCATAGTAAATGCACGTAAAATTATAATCATTTATTGAATACGTAACGGAAGTTAAATTACAAGTTATTTGTGTTTTGCAGCAAATTGCCTTTAAGAACCTGGTTCAGCGAAATCGCCTTGTAGAACAACAGTCTGGGAGGGTTCCTCCTCCTAATACTGCAATTCAACTGCCCTTCATTTTAGTCAACACCAGCAAAAAAACAATCATAGACTGCAGCATCTCTCCTGACAAGTAAGTAGTTCAAAGCTGACCATGTTATGTTTGATGAGGAAACTTGTTATTCCATCAATTAGATTACATTAAAAATTATATTCTCAAAATACCTACCCTATCAAACTGCAAGATACTGTGAATCATACCTTGTGACATAACCAGTAAGGATAATAAAATAAATGGTGGAGTCTGAGCATAGATTTGGAACACAGGTTAATGTTTGCTTTTAAAGCATTAAATTGTTTTATTTTTAATTGAAATTTTACTAGCGCTGATTTTTTTTTTGAGTAAAATATCAGGGACATGTATTGGTGAAAAATTTAAATGGATTCATTTAATGTTAAAACCATTAATCACATAGATTATATTTGAAATGCTGATAGGATGTGCCATCGTATCATGTGAAATATAGCCTCCTTCAAGATTAATAGGCCTATTAAATGTACATAAATTGATCACTTTAGAAGACTTCCGCAATAACTCTTACAATCCTAATGTCATAGAGCTGTACAGCATGGAAACAGACCCTTTGGTCCAATTCGTTCATGCTGACCAAATATCTTGTCCCATTTGCCAGCATTTGGCCCATATTTGGCTCTTAAACCCTTCCTATTCATATACCCATCCAGATACCTCTTAAATGTTGTATATGTACCAGCCTCCTCCACTTCCTCTGGCAGCTCATTCCATACACACACCACCCTCTGTATGAAAAAGTTGCCCCTTAGATCCCTTTTAAATCTTTCCCCTCTCACCTTAAACCTATGCCCTCTGTTTTTGGACTCCCTACCCTGGAGAAAAGACCTTGGCTATTCACCCTATCCGTGCCCCTCATGATTTTATAAACTTCTATGACGTCACCCTTCAGCCTCCGACGCTCTAGGGAAAATAGCCCCAGCCTGTTTAGCCTCTCTCTATAGATCAAACCCTCCAACCCTGACAAAAGTGGCCTAACCAATGTCCTGTACAGCTGCAGCATGACTTTCCAACTTATGTATTCAATGCACTGACCAATAAAGGCAAGCATGCCAAACACTACCTTCACTGTCCTGTCCACCTGTGACTCCACTTTCAAAGAACTATGAACCCGCACTCCAAGGTCTTTGTTCAGCAATGCTCTCCTGGACCTTAACCATTAAGTGCATAAGTCCTATTCTGATTTGCCTTTCAAAATGCAGCACCTCACATTTATGTAAGTTAAACTCCATTTGCCACCCATGAGCCCATCTGTTCAAGGTCGCGTTTTACTCTGAGGTAACCTTCTTCACTGTCCAGTGCACCACCCAATTTTGGTGTCATCTGAAAACTTACTAACCATACCTCCTAAGTTCACATCCAAATCATTTATATAAATGACAAAAAGCAGTGGACCCACCACCGATCCTTGTGGCACACTGCTGGTCACAGGCCTCCAGTCTAGTTTAGTTGTCTTTTAAAATGTTCAGACTAGCAAAACACAATTATTTTAATCTTAAATTTTAAAGAATTTTGGGAGTGGATATGTTGTCAGAAATATTTGAAAAGCTGATGTGATCTCTATCTTAGGATATTACTTACAACTTTGCAAAGTGAAAAATTCAACATTATAACATTTCTTCACAGGTTTGAATATTTTTTTAATTTTGATAATACATTTGAAATCCATGATGACATTGAAATTCTTAAGAGAATGCGAATGGCTTTTGGATTGGAGTCTGGTGGCTGTTCTGCTGATGAGTTGAAGATGGCTAAGAGTCTAGTACCCCACGTACTGGAACCATATGTCATAGGTAAAATGGAAGGGGATGTGATTTATTCATGGTGTCCATCACGTTATTTTACAATTGCCAAAAAAGAGCTCAGCCTACTTGCAGAGAGGAAGGAAGGAAGGGCATTGGAACTTCATTTTACTGAGTAGTTACATAGTATTGAAATCTGGTTACTTAATTATCTAGTTCATGGATAGTGTAACGATAACTCTGGTTAATGCTGCACATGGCAAGAATCAACATGCAAAACTTTTGCATAATTCAGGATTAATTCTTTTGAGTCTTCTGTTTTGGGTGGTTGGGGCGGCTGGGTGTGAAATGGTGATACATTAGTCACTGTGTGCTGTGTTTTGACTCGAAGTCTCCTAAGGCAGTTTGTGCAATTGACCATATCCTATTCATGATTCTTGGCCTCCAAAAAGCCACGTAACAATAGACTTGTCATAGAATCCCTCCAGTATGGATGCAGGCCATTCAGCCCATCAAGTATCAACGACCCTCCAAAGAGCATCCCACCCAGACCCCACCCCTACTCTATCCCTGTAACCCTGCATCTCATGTGGCTAACCCACCTTGTCTGCACCCTCCGGGACACTGTGGGCAATTTAGCATGGCCATACCACCTAACCTGCATGTTTTTTGGACTGTGTGAGGAAACTGGAGTACCTGAACGAAACCCACACTGACATGGGGAGAATGTGCAAACTTCACATGGACGGTTCCCGGAGGCCAGAATCAAACCCGGGTCACTGGCGCTGTGAAGCAGCAGTGCTAACCACTGAGCCACTGTGCAGCAATCCCGTGCATGAATAGAAAAAAAACAAAACCTTAGAGTGTTCCTCGTTGAACATGTTAGGAATGGTATATGGAAACCCAGGCTTTATCAACGTGGAAATGGAATACAAAAGCAAGAAAGCTATGGTAAAACTTTGTCCAATAATGTTTGACCTCAGCTGGAAAATTCCAGTTGGTTCTGGGCACCACGTTTTTGGAAAGATGTGAAGGGTTTGTGTAATATTTCCAGGTAAGATGGAACATTTTTTTTCATTATAGCAGTGGTTATAATCTGAAATGCCTGACAGTGCTGAACACAAATTCAATCATGGTTTTCAAAGGGAATTGGGTAATTGAAGAGAAAATTTGCAAGGGTACTGGAAAAGGTGGAGGAATGGGACTAGCTGAGTTTCTCTTTCAGTGACTAAGCGTGAACCAATTGGCCTTCTTTAAGTTTAAACATCTTGTTCTGTAACTAGTTCCCAATGTATATAAATTGTCTCCTTTAAAAATTTAAAAAAAATCGTTGCTTGTGTTCCAGGGCATTGCATTCAGGGCTAAAGGAATAGCCTTTACATAATTTCAAATTTTCACCACAATTTTAATTTTGTGAAATGTTTGAATTTCAGTTCTTCAAGATTTTTTTCCTAAACTAAGGGATCATTCAAGCACTGGGATAGCGTGGAAGGGTACAGTTTCATCAGGGTGGACTGATAGCTCTTCAAGATGTTTCTGGGTGGAATTCTGCTGGAGGTGCTGAGGAAAGAATCTGGGGTGGTGACAGTGTAGCTGACCCATCTGTCAGTAGTAATGGTGTAGCAGTAACAGCAGGAATGAGAAATGGCTTTGTATTAGTGTGTTCATCCATGGGAAGGAGGGATGAAGCCAAGGAAGCATTTCAGGTTTAGAAAATGAGTCTTGAATCTTGAAACATGAGAATCCAGCAGAACTTTACCATGACCAGGTGTAGTGCAATGCATCATAAGGTTTCTACCCATTAGAGGTTGTAAAGCAAATGTTCAACCAGGAAAACTTTCAAGCACTAAAAGAATGCATTGTAGTTTTCATATTAGAAGGTGAAAGATGGGAGTAGAGATGGAAATATTTTTGGAGGTGAAAAACATATGTTAGCTCAGATGTGATGGAGAGAATTGGCTTTAGAATGTTTTTGACTTAGCTATGTATAGCCTAAGAGGCCAGCCAGAAAAATTATTCTAGTTGATGTTGAAGTTGATTGATGGTACCAATGGTAGTAAAAAGTGTGGTGTCTATTTGCTGGATGAAATTTAAGCATGTGCCAGTTTTAATGTTGAGAATTCAACACGATGTGTTATCTTCTGGAAATGGAGAAGGCAGTGAGTAGGGCTGAGTGACCTGTCCATTGCAGTGTCTTGCATGATGGGTCTCTGAAGGGTAGTAAGTAATGAGAGAAAGCTAAAAATTGAACTTGAAGTGTAGCAATGGAGACCCCATGGGTTCAGAACCAGGAGGGACGTGTAATTGCATTCCTGCAGCAGAGTTTTTAGAAATCTGGTATCGGTGTAAACCCACGTTCCGTGACTGTGGTTTTGCATGTTTGAGTTTGATGCATTGTACAATTCCAATATAGAAATAGAAGCCCTGACATTACTGAGGTAACGGTCTAACCACTGGAATTTTTTTATTCTGCCTGTATGAATGGGTGAGTAAAGAACCAACACTCTTCACTGAAGAAGGGAAATTAATTTGGGGGCCAGTTTGAGCAACGCTGGGGCTGAGCTTTCTTGCCAAATGTCCCCAACCATACCATTTTCATTCCGGACAAGCAAGTATAGGATGAAGTTGGGTCTGCATCTCTGGAACAAGTCTGAAGTGGGTGAATAGCGCAGTTTGAGGGCTTGCCTCCATTTACTGGACATCAGCCCAGTTGTAATTATGATTGTCAGGCCCTGAGACCTTCACCCACCCCTCCATAGCCACTCATATTTCCTATGCTTCTACCATTCTCCCCATATCTTCTCCATACCCGCACTCCCAATATCACTGTGTACAGAATCAGAGCATTTAGTGAATCTCAAGCCCTTGAAATTCTCCTGAAACTGACACTATAGGCAAAGGGGGGGATAAAACTGCTCAGTTCACAACCTCAAAGTGTTAAATCAATTGCAGCCATTAATCCTATTAGTGACCAAAAGCTATTATACACTTCACCCCCTCAATTGTGTAGCCATTCAAAAAAAAACACATGAAGGAAGGTCATTTCTTACAACTTAATAATTATGTCAATTTTAAAAAAACACTAAGCTTGCATTGCTTGCTGAGAGATGAGTAAGCAAATGTTCTTCGAGCTCAGCCAAGTATTCATAGGAGACCATCTGGCAACTATCACCAACAAACTGAACAGATCGCCAGATATCCATATTTACAGTTGGCTTCGTTATGAATGCTTGGCTGAGTTCCAGGATTGACTGACACATTTTGTTCTCAGGACACAGTGTTTGAATGGAAGTGCAAAGTTTGTTGAATTGGCATTTATATTAGCTTGTAATAAACTGATCTTTGAAGGGTTTTTCTTTCTGTTTCCCCCCCACCCATGCCTATGTATTTATTTACACATTTCAATATTAAGTGGGGAATAGCTTTTTGTCATTGATATTACAAATCGCTGTGATAGACAGTTTTGAAACCATTGGAGCATGTCTGCTGTTCCTGGTTAGAACATGATGTGAAGTGAAGATGAGAAAGTACAGAACAATGTTCAGCAATGCAGAATTCCACATTTTATCACAAAAATCTTAATATTGAACATAATTGGACTGTATACATTTGCTGTTCCATGATTTTTTGTATTAGTTATCTATCATGACCATGTTGATTATAGCCATACAGCATGGAAACAGACCCTTCGGTCCAACTTATGCGTGTGGATCAGGCTTCCCAAACTAAACTAGTCCCATTTGGCCCATATCTCTCGAAACCTTTCCTTTCATGTACCCATCCAAATGTCTTTTTAATTGTTGTAATTGTACCTGCATCTACCACTTTGGCAGTTCATTCCATATACGAACCACCCTCCGTGTGGAAGAAGTTGCCACTCGGGTCCCTTTTAAATTTTTCTCCTCTCACCTTAAAACTATGCCCTCTAATTTTTTAACTGCCCCCACCCTAGGGAAAAGACCTTTGCAATTCACCATATCTATGCCCCTCAAGATATTATAAACCTCTATAAGGTCACCCCTCAACTTTCTGTGTTCCAGTGGAAAAATGTCCCAGCTATTTTAGCCTCTCCTTATAACTCAAATCCACAAGTCCCATATTACTCAAGGACTTAACTGAGTTTTTGATATACCTTCTGGTCGTCAAGAATTTTAATGATACCAATAGGGCACAGGAACAGGAGTCATTCAGCCCCTTGAATCTGTTCTGCCATTCAGTGAGATCATGGCTGATCTGTAAGTCATGTACCTTTGGCCCATATCCCGTAATACCTTTGCTTAACAAAAATGTGGCTACATCAGATTTAAAACGAATAGCTAGAAGAGTTTCAAACCAAGCTCTACCACTTTTTGTGCGTACAAGTGCTTTTTAACATCTCTGCCGTTAATTCTCGGGTTATGCCTCCTAGTTGTAGAATCTCCAACCAGTGAAAATAGTTTATCTTTATATATGTTGCCTCTTCTCTTTAATATCTAGAAAACTTGGATCAGGTCACCTCTTGACCTTCTAAATTGTAGAGAAAACAGGCTTAATTTATAGAATCTCTCATAACTTAACCCCTGGGTCCAGGTATCATTCCTATAAACCTACATTGTACTCCCTCCAAGACCAGTATTGCCTTCCTGAGATGTGCCCAGATTTGCTCTCAGAACTCCAAGTGGAGTCTAACCAGGGTTTTGTACAGCAAAATTTTTGCGTCCTTGTATTTTAGTCCTCCAGATATAAAGACCAACATTCAATTTTTTGATTTTTTTTTTGCACCCGCTTGTGACATTTTAAAGATCTAGGCACCTGAACACCTAAGCTTCTTTGGCCATTGACTGGATTTAACTTCATGCCATCTAGAAGGAACGCTGATCCAACCTTTTACCCTCAAATGGATAAACTCTCACTTGCTTACATTGAAATACATCAGCTATGTGCCCATTCACCTAGTCCATCAATATCCTTTTGTAATTTTATGCTGTCATCTACAACTCAGCCTAGCCTGGTCGATGACTTGGTTGATTTTCTAAAATTTTTTGGTTACAACCAGAATTTATGCTTCCTTGAAATCAAATTTTCCTTTAATTTCCAGTCTTTGGAAAGCTTTGCCAAATGCAGCTAATTTAAAATAGTCTAATATGGTATTCATAACAATTTTTTAAAAGCTCTAATTTTCCTTTGTTATTACGCAGAAATGGCGAAAGTAGTGCAAAATGTTAACTCAGGCCCAAGTTCAGTAGCAGCGTCTACATCTTCGACAAGCTTCCAATCTAGCAGGTAAGTCTGTGGAAGCTAGTTGCATTTCCTATTGTTTTAAAAACTAATTTCATACAACTGAGTGATTTCACCTCAATATTTGCTCAAGATGAAAGTACCATTGAAACAAAAATTGTAGTGATAGTTTGAGAAAGAATCATTTCCCAGGCAGTGCTTTTAAATTTTTTTTATATAGCTCTGGTTCTTCATTTGACCATCTCCACATACCATGCACATATTTGGCACACTTAATAAAATTCCACTGTCTAACTTGCTTTTAGCATTATTTTTGTCTGTAATATGACTTCTACATTCTCAAGTGTTATGTACACATTGTTTATTTTTCTGAACATTTTTGAATGAAAATGCTTCTGATAATTTTGAAATTAACTTACTGAGCTGACATTGCAATTTGCTCTATCACATATAATGTTCACAGGTGCTATCTATTGAAACTTAATATTAGCTTACTCCTGTGACTGAAAGATAATTTTCATAACCATTTGGTTTGAAACTAATTTTCCAGATTATGTGAAAAGGAGGAAACTTATTTAACTTCCAATGGGCCAGTTATAACAGCCTCAAACTAGAATATGCGGCTTTGAAATAACAGCCCTCCATTAGTTGAATTCAACTGGACTCAGCAGGTTCTTGACCCTGCCTGCTTACTCTTTTACTACTTTATCAATAATTATATATATCGCTCCTCTTCCCTGCTTCTGCCCACCCCCCTCACCTGTTTCATTCTTTTAATTTCATTTTCTCTTAAAAATTTCTTTTAATAAATGATTTTAATTTCAGAGCGTTTGGTGCCAGTGATGAAATAGCCTTACCAACTGATACCGAAGTGGCCTTAGTGACCAGTCAAGCACAAGGAAGTTTCAATGGTACACATTGTTCTGATCCCAGAATGGAAACTCCTACGTCCTATATTGAAGATGATGATGATGACGACGAAGAGGAGTATGAATGAATTAATAATCATTCTGCATTTCTTCCTGTTTTCTGTTGCTTAAAATGGCATCTCTGGAAAGAACTGTCTCTTGAGGCAGAGACTTTAAAGAATTGTTATTTGACTTGTGAGGGGTTTAACTTAATTCTATTCTCTTCTAATTTAAACATCAAAAACTTTGAATACCGGACTGTAGAGAGAACTTTTCTGAATTTACGAGCAACAGTTGAAATTTTAAAGAAGTTTTTGCTTCTCTGTTGAGGATCTACAATGTGTTTTCTAATTGCACCAAGTGCAGCTATAAAAAGCTACTGTTTGTTCAATTATATCATAGGGCACTATCACAGTAACATCTCTGGCTTCACTGCCTGATACTGATGTTTACATGTTGTGATTTTGCTATTCTCAGCTGAGCTGGTGTAGCACTTTACAGATATGTCCCATTTCAGGGGCAAAAGAAGTGGAGTTGTTATCTCCTCCTGCTACAAATTTGTGTGCTGTTGATCACCAAAAGGCATTGAAAGTGGTCACAGATGGGTCAGTGATTTGTCGTATCTCATCAGCTCAGAGATGATGTTTTGAAGAAATAGTTGGGCGAACTAATAAGAAGGGGTTTAAAAAAATGCTAGTGCAGCAAAAAAAATCTGTTTGAAGTGTTATATGTAATTTTAAAGCTTTTTGCTGCTGCCAGAAAACTTTGTAAAAGGCAATCTGTGATTGGTGTAATAGAATTCCTGGTACTAGGTCAAATACACAGTGCACCATATAGTTCAATTTAGTATGCTTCTGAAACAGCAGTAATGTATGAAGTACTTCTTAAAGTTTGACTTCACCTTTTCAACCACAAATATAGTGGTATATTCACTGATCAGATGCAGATCTTTTTACCCATCTTATCTTTGTAACCACCTACAAATAAATACTGAACAAAGCCTGTTGTGGAATCAACAGTTTTTATTAAACACATTCTTAATTTAAAGAACTCTCTTGCTGACCCTTGGGATTTTAAAACTTTTTGCAGTGTGTATACAAATGCTTAGTTTTCTGCAGCTAAGCTAAAAGCTTAATATTTTACACTGTGGTATTTCTAGGCTTACGACCTGTACAGGTTTATTTTGGAGTGAAATTGCTTTCGTAGTATAGCAACATTTGTCGGTTTAATGCACCTAGCTTTCTGATCCTCCACTCAATTTGATAATTTGCGCCACTTTTCCTCCGTATGGCTAATTCCAGACTCTCTGCTACATGCTGTTGGAGGATCAGGGTTAGGCTGGGCTGTGCAACAGGGTGAAAGGAAAGCACGTGAAACACTTGTATAGCTGCACTTCTTATTAGAAAGGGAAAAAGCTTTGTTTCTTCAATTGGATATAGATATGGGATGAATGTCCAATGTAGGTCTGACTTCCTAAACGGATAATGAAGCATTGGAGATCTTTGCCCAGTACTATGTAGTTGATTTATTTTTATTGCTGAAGTGGTTTGCTGAATTGTTTCCCATTACTGAAGAATTCATCGTGGAAAGCTGGCATTTCCTATCTCTCTGTTGGAAGCATGCTTCCTGTTAAGTCTACAACTTGGATCAGTTGTATTTCCTCGTTTATATGGGTGCCTTCAGAAAGCCAGCTGGAAAGAAAAAGGGGGCAAAAAGGTTTGCCATCAAGCATGCGATTTCTTGGATTTATTTAAATGCAGTTAGAGTAAAGAAAATGGAATCAAGTTATGAAGAATCCCTCAGAAGTTTGCTTTTGCCCTGTTGACTACAAGCAAAAGTGTTTTCATGTATAGTTTTGTTATTCAAAACACTTCCTTGTCCATCACACCTATCGTCTCCTGAAAACACATGGGGTGCAGCAACTTTGTACCCTTTTCATCGTGTCTCTCCTTTTCATGTTTATTTAATTCACTGTTTGGAGCAATACAAATTGACTTCATTACTTGCTGTTTGTTAATCTAACAATAGGGTGAAACTTTTCATCCTCATAAGCAGTGCATTTTATAAAAGAAAATTATCGGTAAGATCAAATATCTGAATATTTGGATTTGAAGTGAAACTTAAGCTTGTGTGTGTGCGTGCGTGTGTGTGTCTCTCTCTCTCTCTCTCTCCCAGGTTTGTGATTGAGCATTTGGATTGAATAAAACATAGGAACTGTGGCCCCATGGTAATCTAATAAACTAAGTCTGTATCTTGATTCTTAAATTGATTTTAGGGAAGTTTCCTGAAGCAACTTTTTGAGGAGCTTTGTAAATTTTCAGAAACTTGTTCACAGAATTTTCTATAAACACTAGGTCGATTTGTAGACCCATCTTGAATATAAAGAGAAGGCAATAACTGGAATAGAAATTATTTAAGACTGACAAGTCTCTAAAACACACTTGGAACAAAGCAATCTGCAATATTAAAAAATACAGTATTTAAAATTTATGAAATCCCGAAGGTGTATATTTTGTTGGCAATAGTGTGCTTCAATGATGCAACATCTTTCTTCCACGATACAAACAATGTAGTTACAGATAATCTTTTCCTACCCTAAATACATTTTTTGGTTGCAAAATGAGAGTTGGGGGAAGAGATTGTAAATGTTGAGACAAAACCTGATTTCTCAATGCTGCAGTTTAATATCTGTAATTCAAACATAATTCTGTCTACATTGTTACATACAAGGATGTTTTTAGTTTCATGACTCATTAAAATTTATAAGCTTGAAATAAAACTGTAATCTTATATTTGACTTTGGTTGAAATATACTATTTCTTTAACTCAAGGTTTCAGTACTTCTGATTAATTTGCTGCTACTTTTGTTTCTTTGCTGCCTGGCAACTGTCCAAAATTAATAATTTTTACAGTAATTGGCCACATTTTGGAACAGTTCAAATTGCCTGAAGTTTAACGCAAATGGCAATGATTGTCAGGGTTGGATATGTCCTTTGTCTTTCTAAATTATTCTGTATTTTTGTTTATTGCTGAAGGGAGATAAATTGAATCAAGAGAAAAGAGTCATAAGTCCATCTTATTTATAACACTATTCAAGGGTAGGCGATGGCCCAGTGGTAATATCACTAGACTGTTAGTACAGAGACCCAGGTAACATTCAGAGGACCTGGGTTCAAGTCCCACCATGGCATGTCTTGGAATTTGAATTCAATAATAATCTAAAAATAAGAGTCTAATGATGATCACAAAACCATTGTTGATTGTTGAAGAAAATCCCATCTGCTTCACTAATGTCCTTTTGGGAAGGAAATATGCCATCATTACCTGGTCTGGCCTACATGTGACTCCAGACTCTCAGAAATGTGGTTGACTCTTAACTGCCTTCTGGGCAAATTAGGAATGAGCAATAAATGCCAGCCTAGCTGGTTATGCCCACACCCCATGAATGAATATTTAAAAGATTTAATTTTTTTGGATTTGGTTCAGATAAATCAGCTAATAGTTGGTAACAAAAAAATAGTTTCTGTTTTTGTTCCTGGTTTACAGCATCTGCAGTTCTTTTTGGTTTTTATTCAACTAATAGTTGATGTTGGATTTGTTCTTTCATCAGCAGCGAGCAGTTATTGGCTATGCAATCTGAGGAAATTACAGGACATTTTTTAAAGTCATATTCTCTGATTTCTTTTGAGCCTTGTGCCAGTGCTGTGCTTGAAGCAAAGGTTTATTCTTGTTGTCAACTTGATTCCCAATGATCTTTAACATAGAAAGTCTGTTGTGTTTCTCAGTGAATTTATCATCTTTTAAATTTTGAGAGCTATTAAATGTATTTCCTGTCATTTTTGTTGTGACTTAAAGCTCTACCTTGATTCTGATTTTGTTTAGCAATATAATAGCACTTATTAAAATTTCACCCCAGTTTTCAATTTCAACTGATGTTAAATGTTGGATGAAAATTCAGCACATTGTCTTATACATCTGTTGTTTGTATTTTTAATCCTTTTTGATTTCTGTATGAAGACATCATTAAAGGATAGGTTGATTGGATGGCTGGGTTTTAGTATCCAGTATCTTTCAAAACAAAAATCTTCTTATTGGGACTGCATCTGTGGAGACCCATTTAGGTACCAAATACTAACCATACAGTATCAAAAGCCTCAGATCTGACTTGCTCTTGCTACAGAAACAGTTAAGCAAAGATTTTGCTACCTTGCTGTCTTAGAAAGCTGGTTGCTGCCCAACACAATCAATTAATCCGTGCCCATGATGGTTATTGGGGTAAAGGATCATTTAAAATCTAGCTAAGGAAAATTTCATGTTACAATAGTAGTGAAGGAGTTTTTAAATTGCTGTTTGTGTTTTTGGTAACTGACA